TATATATATATATATATATATATATATATATATAATGTAAAGAGAGTGTAAAGATTCTTCGATTTAATGGGACTAAATGAAACTTCGTTTTGGAAATTTCGAGTTTGTCAGACTCTTGGTGAAAAGTTCTTCAACTTTCATAGAAGTTACTGTTTTTCACATTCAGTTTTAATGTTGTCTGACTGTGCTTCTCTTTTTTTACTTTGGTAATTTAGTAGTTTTGAACCAAGTTGGAAGTAGGTTTGCTTTATTGCTGTATGGGAATAAGTAGAAGTCACATTTGTCGCTTATCATGTGTAGCACTGGGAATTAATTAGATGTTGGTGTTTTTCAACTCGATAGGCATCTGCTTTTAAGACTGCGTTCCTTATTAATTATAGAGGTTTTCTTTTCAGTCGTTCTAAGTAAACAGAGGAATAGTTAATCTGGTTCAAAAAACAATAGTTTAGGGCCAGTGGTAGTCTTATTGTGGAAAGATCTGTGTCTTCCTCTAATTGTTTTTTGATATTTGACTGAATTTAAGTGAAGACAGGAAAAACTAAGTATAATTTGGTCAGCACCCGTGAGTAACAAAGATATTTCGTATTATTTGAAGTGGTACTGAAATATGGGAGCGAAAAAATTTTCACTGCGATATAGGAGAGATGTAAGTTCAACGCAATTTTGCAGTGGAGGGGCAACAAAAAAAGTAGTAGACAGGCGTAGGGAGAGAATGGAGGGTTGTTTGGTTGCTGGCAATTGTTAGAAGGCAAAGGCGAAGTGGTATTTCGGTATAGTTGATGTGGTGGCCTTGGTTTAGTGCGTTTGTATGAGTATGTGCGTTGTAATGGGGGCCCTTGTATAACTAAAATTATTTCTCTTGAAGGCACTGTTTTTCTGAAGCCTCTCTGGTTACGTATTCTCTAATGTTGACGCTCTGTCACTCTAGCGAATGTTTTGGTTATGTGAATGTGAACCGTCATATGAGAATGGAATCTTTATTTTTTTCTATGTTCATCTGTCATTTTATCTTGCTCTCTATGTTTTCTACAATGTTTTATGGTCACTCTGCGGTACTTTTTCTTCATTGCTTTGCCTTTTAATAGATGAGATTACTTTCTGTTGGTGTGAGTGTGTGTGCGGGAACGTTATACATAGAGAGAAAGGGAGAGAAAGCGATTCAATGTTGAATGGCGCTGCATCGAGGCGGCGCCATCACAGTTTGCGCTTCGATTCTCCTTCACATCTTTCTTTTTAGTTTTTCAAATGTGAAAATTTTATATTTTGTCGTTGGGGGGACCGTTCTTGAAAAAGCCCGAATTTTTTTTTCTCGTATTTGACATGAAAAATATTCATAAACTGAAAGAGGTGAATACGGAAGGATATGAGAAGAAGGAAAAAAAAAATAAAGGAAAGAACACAAAAAAGTGGCCAAAAATAGAAAAGCCAGCCCTGCATGCAGTACTAGAAAATATAAACAATAGCGTTAGCATTGCTGAAACGTAGAGATGGATCATTTTGCACTGTACTAACGAGTTCTGTGAATTATAGTAATGCACAAATTTTTTTAAATTTTAACATGCAGGAGGACTGTAATCGTCATTTTATGATACAGGATCAGACATTATAGTTTTAAGGAGTTTATCAAGTTTGATTGTCCATGTGCGTTGTATATTTTGAAAGTTACGCTCCTTTTTTTGGTGAGTGAAAACTGTTCTTGTTGGTTGCATTCAGCTAAAATCTCTTCCTCCTTATCGTTTATAGAGTGTGCTTTTACTGTATTAGGAGAAGCTCTATAGTGAAGAAGAGGATACACAAAGTTACCACGTACTAAGAACGATGCCACAAGTGGTCAAAGATTAATTTTGATGTGCAGGGCAGCAGTAGTTGGGGAAATCCCGAAGGACATTTAAGTGCTTTTGACCGTTTGCGTCATTCACCTTAACAATACTGTGAAAGTGAGAAAAATAAATTTGTCTATAGGCGCATAAAATAGCATAATGGCCGATAAGATTTTTTGCATTTTTTTGTTTTCACACAAAGTACATCGTGTTTGGAAATCGAATTTAGAACTTGAACTTTCAGTATTTTATAATTTATTTATCTCTTCGTCTTTTTTTCCCACATGATGTAAGGAGTTCGAACATCGTACTCATTCTTTTTCAAAAAAATTATTTTCGCTGTTATGTTTAGTTTAATTCCTACTTTTTAGAGGAATTTTACGGTTATAGAGCTGTCGTATTAAGGTTTTTGCTTTTCATTAATCTTCTGTAACTTTTTTTTGATTTTTTAGCAGCCTTCACCGATTCCCAATGGAACCTACAGTAGTCCAGACTCCGTTGGTCCATCCACAGCCGGTGAAAAACGGAAGGTTAAAGGTGGGTCGAGGCCATCATCTCGTGGAGTTATGTTTCCGAATACGCCTGGTCAAGGTGGACCACCACCTCAAGTTGGTCCCTTGCAAAATCCTGCTCTTGTTGGTCTTCGTATGGAGGCAGCGCCAGTTAGTTCTTCGTCAGGTGAAGATTGGAAATTGATTTATCTTTGCGCTGTATTTGATGTTCATAATTCTATTTCGCAGTTTATAGGGTTTTCCCCACAAGATGTACCCCAGCAAAGTGGTTCCGTGCCGCATCACCCCCATCTAGCACAATCTCACCAAATGGTGGGGGGTGTTATGCCTCACCAAGGTACAGGTATGTTTTTTAGACTTGACCTTTACAAGCTGCAGAAAGATTGTTGTGGTCATGCTTAGAACACAGGAAGTTTTAGGGTACTCCCCCGGATTGTATCAGTCTGGATATTGGGCTTCGCAACAGCCACGGTATGGTATGCCTCCCGGACCAGTCGGTCATTTTTATCTTCCTAATCAGCCGCCTGTAACACAGTCAGGTACGCAGATAGTTTGCTTTCTAATCATATTTTTTGCTCTTATGTGGTGTCACGTTTTCTGCTTTATTCTCAGTCATCCATATGCACATGCGAGTTGTTTCTAAAAGTCGCTAATCTAAAGCCTCTGCGATCCGTATTATATTATAGCGTTTTCTGGTTACCCAATAATGGAGCCGCGGACAATGATGCCTCCTGCGAGAGTGCCCACAAACAACCAAACGGAGTTGACACGCGTTTCGAATGGACCTATGTCTGTCGATTGGCAGACGAAAATGAATGTACCAAAAATGCCTGTTCAGGTAAGCATTTGTACAATATACTGTATTGCCTGTTTAATTATTCTTTTGAAACTCCTCACAGTATATTTGATTTAAGTCAATCCTTCATACTCATATATTTAGGAAACCCCTTCATTGGCAGCTGTATCATCTGCGCATCAGGCCCCGTCAAGTTCAACTTCATCACAACCTACTACTTCTTGTCCTCAACCTATGCCGCAGATGGCTTCTAATTCGCTTCCCGTTCAGCCATTAAATTCTGCTGGATCGACTTCGCAGCAGTTGCCGAACACATCTACAGCTTCTGCAATGAGCCCTGACACTGCCTCGTTAACTGCTGATGAATCGTTGGATGACTCGAAATCTTTACAAGGCGCCTCTCCAGCGTCTTGGCCGCACACTCCTGCACAGATGAGTCAGGGCCAAGTAATAACTACTGCTTTTATATGCTATTTTACAAATTTGTATTTTTTATAGCTTTTTTAGCTTTCAGTATATTGATGTCATTATGTGTTTTTAGCGTACACCAGTGCCACCAGGTCAACCGTCGACTCCTGGTTTATCTAATACAGGCACGAAAGTTAAGGAGTCACCAGCCACTTTAATGGATAGACTGGTAGATTTATCACTTGGTAATTTGGGTACATTTTCTTGTTTACATTTGCTGATGCTATGAGACTTTCAGATCGGGCCGGTAAATCCAGGCAATCCGTATTATCTTGAAAGAAGGAAGTTTTTTGAAGAATTGTTCCAATTTTGCGAAAGTCAGGTAAGGAAGAATTTGTTTTGATATAAAAGTACTGCATAATTAGACTTCACTTTCTCTGTTCACCATATGTGCACGATAAATCCCATCTAGAATTGCGTCTATTTTTAGGGCGATCCTATCACGCAGGTTCCACAAGTTTCTAAACAAACGATTGATCTTCAGAGGTTGTATTATGCGGTTTATAAAAGAGGAGGTTTCGAACAGGTTTGTCAATCGCGTGATTTTTTCTGGATAACAGCAGGGTTTTCGGATTCGCGTGTTCTTGAGTCACTAGATGCTTGCAGAGGATATCAAGTTCTTTGCTTGATTTTTTCATGCTATTTAGGTGATGAGAGACAAAACGTGGAAACAAATATGCACAGATGCTAATCCGGAAATGTCAGAATCATCAGCAGCGGGGTACCAGTTAAGAAGACATTATCAAAAATATTTGCTAAGATATGAATGCTACAAGACAGGGAAGAATTATGAAATAGCTGTTGCATTGGCCGAAAAAGCTAAAAAGCGAAGTCGTAGGGAAAAGGAGCCGCAAATGATCTCGCAGTATGGACCAGGTAAATTGATAATAGTTTGGGCTTGAGAATGGAAGTATTTTTTTGCGTTGACTTTTTTCCTGTTGTGAATTTTTTTAAAATCACCCTATGTAGTGGCGAAACTTTTTTCCTAATTAAAACTTTGTTTCTTTTTCTTGATGCTTTTTTAAAAGTGCATAGATTTAATTTGAGAAGCTTGGAAGGAAAAAGCATGTCAGATTTTCTCCTAATATTTTTTTTTGTTTATTCATCTTTGTAACTGCGCATTTTAGCCTCAGAGTGCAAATTTAAAATCAATGTTTGCTATAATTTTAGAATTAGCAGCTTACTGCAAAATTTAAATGGTGGCGTTTTTAAATTTCATCGAATTTGTGTTATATTATCTGTCATTTTGCCGACTGCGCAAAAATTCACGTGCTTTGTGGACATTCACATTTTTATATTTTTCCTTCCGCATCATCATTCTACGTGTTTTTTGATGTTTTCGCATTTCGTTTATTTTCTTAATCAATGTTCAGCAATGCGGTTTCATATTGAATGTTTATTACCAGTTTATCCTACTCTGAAATTTGCAACACTGTTTGCAAATTCAATTCTTGCCAATTGTAGTTTATTTAGTACTTTTAAGTTGCTCGGCTCTTCCAAAATTAATAAAGGTGGTCTAGACACTCACAGTTGACGTAGACTCTTTTGTAAACATTTAGGTGACGTTTACAGTTGTAGCCTCTGTTTTAATCTTTCCCACTAGCCAGCAGTTTTTTAAGCGTAATACTGTGCTTACTTCTAGTACATTTTGGTTTTTCGAGTTTTTCGAGAAATCGAGATTTTTATAAATTGCTTTGATTTTTGTCTCCGTTTGGGTCATTTATTAATAATACAAGTTCACCTGGTCTCCGATGCAATATAGTCCCCAGCGGCAAATATTTCTCTTGCCGAGAATGAGTGTCCTGGACTGGTAGTCAATTTTTTTTTTCCGCTGCTTATCTTTTCGTTACTTACATTTGGCAGTAAGGGAATATTTCGTTAGCTCAGAATGTGTCTGTACCTTGAGCATAAAAGAGCGCCATTTGTCGAGGGAAGCACAGCTTCAACTGACAATTTGAACTGTTGTCAGGAATTAAAAAGAGTGAGGTATGCGGCTGTCTTAAGGAACAGAGCCGCTGCTTAGTAGAAATGCTTCATTATTTCGTTGAGTTTTCTGGACTGAAATAGTGATGTTTTTGGCACAGGAGTTAACAACTGAATTTATACAGAACTTTTTGATGTTTTGTTTTTATCTGTAATATTATTGCACCTTGCTTGTCTATTGAGGGCATTTTCAAGAGCCAAGACTTGATTAAGGAAGGCACTTGAGCAATTAGATCCTTGAAGAGGAAAGAAGGAAGCACCAATAAGAGGCTTCTTGGCAGTGAAAACGGAAAAATTTACTGAATGGAACATGAAGGCCTTGGCTCATCCTGCAGCATCCCATTCTGACTTGCACTGAAACTAGGCTTTCTTTGGTTGCTTCAGTAGTAGTAGTAGAACTTCCACCAGTCTGTCCTCAGCTTCAACGCTTCTCTAATATTCTCCGCAAATTGTGCCATATTCAGGCAAACAGCAGAGCAGGCGCGATATTTGTCCTTTTTAGTGGTAGTTGTTATTTCTTGCCATTTTTCGGATTTCTTTAGCGCACTGTTTCTTGCATTATTTTCTTCCATTTGTCACTATCTATCTAGATTTCAGTGCATCGTTGGTATCTCTCTTTGGTGTCAGAATCTTATTTCATCGCTCGACAAACACCCTTCCAGTGGCATTAATGGTTTTGTCTTTACATCTATAGTTTCTTCAATCGTGTACTCTCTTCTTCGCTGTTCAACACTCTGGTGCTCTCGCCGCTTTAACGTTACATCCACAAATCTTTGCGATGAAGTTCGTGTGTTCAGTGCGGGCTTTTTTGGTTGCCTGGTGGTGAATTCACATTTTCTTCGCGAAACAGCGCTGGTTGTCGTGGCATTCGCTCGCGCGACCATTGTCAGTATATTGAGTGCATTCCCTACTCCTAACAAACAGAGCTTTTCTCTTTCTCTCTCACTGTTTCTACGGTTTTTGTGTGCTACTGGACGACGTCCTGCCCCAGGACGTGGATCCTCTCCTCTCTCCGCAACTCTTTTTAGTTTAGTCAACAGACGATTGGCTTATTTACAAAAGTTTTAACCTGTGTTTGGCAGTTTTTTTATTGACTTGATGCTGTATTTTTTGTTAGTTTATCATCTGCTTCGGAGAGTTCTTGTTTATAATTTGCGCGATTTACCCTACCGCTATTCTGGATTCTGGGTTTAAGCCTGAACATATGTGGTCGCTAACGTCATACCAGGTTGTAGTTAGCGTATTGTGAGTCTATTCACTGCATGAAGCCCAGGACGTTCTTTGATATTATAATTTTTTACTCAGTATTTCTATTAATTATTAGTCGACATTGATCCTGCTATTATCTAATTTTAGTAATTTTTTCAAGACTGGATTGAAGTTTTTCTGGTACATTTTATACTACTTTTTTTTTGGTTCTGTTGAAACTGTACAAACGGAACCTTGCCTGAAGTCTTGCCATATTGGTCTTGGAGCCCATTATTTTTTAGTCGGTAGCGTAACATAACAAGGCTTAAATATTTGCTCAGTATCCCACTTGCCAATATTCTTTTTCTTGTTTGATAGTTTATAACTACTACTAGTTGCGCAGCTTTGTACATCACTGATCTGAAGAAAAAAACCTAAAAATGTATCCTTCATATACATCTCGTTTCGAAGGTTCTTCCTGGCCTAATTCTATTGCTGGACCATCTTCCTCACATGGTGGTACTGCAAGTTCATCGCATAGTTCAGCACCATCCTCCATAGATTATTATCAACAGCCAAGTACTTCAAATGCTTATTACCATTCTGTGAATCCATCATTGCGATTAACTACTCCATACTATGGAACGCAACAATGCTATGGAAGTTCAGCACCATTTAATTCTCAGGCAGCTGTAGCCGCAGCCGCCGCTGCAGCAGCAACACAGTGCTGTCCAACGAATCCTTCACCGTCATCAAATAATTCACCATATAATGTGACATCTTACGCTCAGTATGCGACTCGTTATTTTCACCATCATCAGCAGCAGCAACACCATCATAATTATGCACATTTACCTTCTCAAAATCTAACAACACCATCAAGTGTATCTTCCGCATTCCTTCCAGACTCTTTGCCGTGGAGGTATTCGCAAAGCGAATATATCAGTAAGTACTGCAAATTGATTATAGTGATATTTCATGAGAGCCACTTGTTACTGTGAACGGATGGATAATCTTTTATCACATATGTTTCGCTATTTCGATGTTATTGTTATTCTCCATTTTTCACTTAGAGTCACTGGCGTAGGGTTCAGTATAATTTGTTTCATTCATTATCTTTTTACGTTTACCTTTCCATGTCTGTCTGCTTTTCTTCTACTTTTAGCTTATTGCTATTTAAAACGAAATTTTTCCAAATTTCTGCTGCGTCGTTTGCTTTTAGGCGTTGTTTTAATCTGCATTGTGACGTGTTTTCCGTTTTAATAGTATGAGATATATCATCTCGAAAGCTTCAAGCTTGCTATATGGAGCCGTTTTCAGTTGATTAAATGGGAGAGGTGTAAAGGATTACGGGATTTATTTTGATTTTCGCAATTGCGTATCCCTTGGTTACCACAATTAATTTTCTCTGGTTTCAACACAGTTTAGCGTGTAGCTTAAAGGTGCACTAATTGAATTCATGCTGCGAATAAGTAAAATTGTATTCTTGAAGTCTGATCTGGCTTTATTGTTTTTCTTTTTGTAGTTTTCCGTATGGCTGTTACACACTTTGAAGATTCGTTGTAGCATCCTTCAATGTGTTTTTTTTTTTCATTTTTTACTTTTGTAGCGTGCTTTCTTG